TGCTGCGGCTTATATTCAGGTGCGGCTTATAGTCCGAAAATTACGGTAACTATATGTAACAAATTAAGGCTTTAATGTAATGGGTTTTTATTGTAATTTCAGTGTCGAATTGCGTGATACATATATTGCAAAAACTCATATAGAGCGGGAATTATTTTTGTTAAAAGAGAGTATCAGGGGCCCATCTTGAGTTACAAAAAAAAGCCTTAAAAATAGTCATAATTTGTTTTATTAATGCCTTTTAGGTTCAACTCAATGTTGAATTTGTTAAATATAACAAAATAATTTCATTTATTTTTATTTTACTCAGACACATTTTTTGTATTTTGAAGATTATCCTGAAAGTAGAAATATGGCAATAACACTTTAACATCTGTTTAATTTTTCACAAGTTATATAACTTTAGCTATATTTAGCAGTGTTGTTGCATATTGTATATTCTCCTCAGATCACGCAGCCTTTTGATAAAACGTTTTTTTGTTTGTAATCGTACCTGTCAATAGTGTGGATGCCCATAATGAAGGGCTGAACATCAGGGTTGGGGGGGCAGCAGAACTTGCAGCGGGTATGAGCGCTGAGCGGGGTCCCATCGCTTAACGTGAAACGGTACAACGGGCTGATCGCGGTGCCGTGGGTCATCACTGGTGGGGAACACACACACACACACACACACACACACACACACACACACACACACACACACACACACACACACACACACACACACACACACACACACACACACACACAGTTTATATGTAAGGTCATGATGTCATTATTACCTTGTAGCACAAAAAGAACACAAGGTCTACCTCATTGCTTATCTTTGGTTTGGATTAAGTGGATCCATATATGCCAACATTAGAAAAACACAGGATTTTTTTTATATCAACTGCAGTTCATCTGCTAGCTTTTAGACTTTTAGGAAGACAAAGAATGATTTCAAGATGTGTCGCCCTGGTGTTAACACTTAAAATAAGCATCTCCATTTGGACACATTTTAAATAACTCTACAATCACTGAAGACAATCTATTCAAGAGCCTTTAACATACATTAGATCTGAGATTAGACTCGCGTGTTTAAATGTGGGATTAACTGATGCAAACATGTGTGCTTCAGTCTGATCTCATTTCAATTTCAAGCTAAATGTCTGACATTTGATGCTTTCAGCTTCAGATGTGAGATTACTTGTTGACATGATTAGTAAATGAAGTATTTTTTTAAGGGTCAACTAGAGCTCTAAGAAATGGTGTTAGCATATTGTTCCGACGTCTCATAAACCAAACAATCAATCCCTCTATTAAGTCAGAAATCGTTTCAAGACAGAGTCTGAACTTCTCTCTTTTTTATGAGCCCTTACTCTTGTTGCATTTAGAATATTTACTGTGTTTTCCACTAGATAAATCTGCATATAAATCACACTATCTCTAAAGGTTTTGCAGATATGAACTGTCTTGCTCAACACTTATCCTGCAGGTATGCAAAGTTATTCAAATGTAGTATTTTAAATCGATCTGTTATAATGGTATAGGAGTAGTTGCTGAGCTGTGGTGAAGCTGTCAGTGTGTATCAATGACTTGTGGGAGTGCAGCTGGACGATCGATGGCTGCTGCTCACCCTCATGCAGCAGCTTCTTGGCGTGGGAGGACTCTTTGCCCTGCGGCTGAAAGAAAGCATAGATGCACTTCCTGACCAGATCCTCCCAGCCCGGCCGGCCCGTCGCTCGCAAAGCACTGGTTTCTATGGAGATGATCTTCCCTAAAGGAGAGCAACACACAACACACACACTCGGTCAGTCTACACACTTTTCAACTTCACGCATTCAGGGTCAACACTGTGACCTGTTTGAAAAAGTGATTTAGAGAAAGAACTTTGTTAAAAGACTGGAAAAGGAATGAGGTTTTTTTAATACAATATTGTGAGAAAAAACACGTGAGAGGAAAGAAGAGATGAGTTATTATAGACAGATTGTTTCCTAATAAGCAGTTTCATTGCAGCAGCTTTACAGTACTTAGTTTGGATTTGATTTATTTTGTATATCATTTTCATGGTGTTTATTTGCTATAAAGCGCCTGTAAGAGCTGTGGAAAGTGTTATATACTAGCGTTGCCAGAAACTGACCATGATCAAAATCGATGATTCAGCAGCCCTGGCGAATAATAATCGATTATTTATGTGACCAATGGCCATTTACAATTATTAATACTATTACTATTATTAGCTTTAGTCTATATTTTGGTTGAAACTAAGCCAGAAAAAAAAAAAAAACATAAATAATAATAAAAAAATATATAAATAAAATCGATTTTTAAAAATAATATTCGATTATGGAGACTGTAACGAATGTTCGAATAATCGAATAATCACTGGCATCCCTATTATATACCTGCCATGTTTTTTATTAGTTTACTTAAGATGCTCAGGTTAAGGACGATCCGCTCTAAACTCTCTAACCCTGAAAACAACCTTGTAAGAATTATTCCTGCGTGTTTTACAGTCATTCCCCTCAGGTGTGATCACATTTTACTCACTGGCCACACGGCTTACATAGAGTCCAGTTCTAGAGAGCAGCAGTTTCTATAGGAGTTGATTGACAGTCAAAACACATCTATGGCTACAAAAACTAACATTTTCTCCATTAATATCTCAATTGTTTCCTTTTAAAACTGAAACACATCCACCTGAGTTTCCCATTTATTTGTAAGGGTCCAACCTACAGTCAAAAATTCAAACATATACAGTAAACCATCATGGACATAAAAGATAATCAGTCAATATTCACATGTCTGAGGCTGAAAACCGTTTATTTGACCAAGTTTCCTTAGAAAATGTCTTTATAATAAATCACAGGAGTAGTCTTCAGCTGTTTCCTAAATGTATGATGTAATGTACAATCTAATTCCAGTGTATGCCAGCGATAACATGACTCTTGGGAATCCTGACTATTAAATACGTGTGTGTGTGTGTGTGTGTGTGTGTGTTACCTGTGGGGTCCTGCTTGGTGATGAAGGACTCAGTGCTGAAAGGCTGAGTGCGAGGAATACGGCAGGCAATACATATGAGGCAGCTCTGCAGGTCTGAGGGAAGAGAGGACACAAGTGATGAGTGTGCGTGTGTGTGTGCGTGTGCGTGTGCGTGTGTGTGTGTGCGTGCATGTACCCTCTCCCTCCTCCTGCATGCTCCGTGGTTGGGACACGGTGAAGCACTGCATGATCTCGTACTGCTGCCGAGCCTCTGTGTTCTCTGCATCCAGCTCGTCAGGCGGCCTCTTCAGCATGCGACAGTTGAAGGTGTGGCTGTTCCTCCGGGCAGAATCCTGCGGCCACGGCACACCGTTCACTGCACACACACACACACACACACACACACACACACACACACACACACACACACACACACACACACACACACACACACACACACACACACACACACACACACATTTTTAAGACCCGTGACATTTAAGCAAAAAATTGTTTTTGCATTTTTTTTCTTCCACTTTTTTCTGTTATTATTTTTATTTTTCTATATAAGAATATAACTCACTT